AAATAAGACAGATGACTTTACAAAACAGACTTGCTTTAGATTACATGTTAGCCAGCAAAGGAGGAGTCTGTGCTTTAATTGGTAAAGAATGCTGTACTTACATCCCTGATAATTCCAAAAAAAATACAAGATTTGGCTGAACATATTCAAAAGGAAGCAGCCAAATTACATGAGCCAGACGATTGGAATTTAAGTTCATGGTTTAGGTCCCTTTTTGGCTCCTTAGGATCCACCATTATTCATGGATTATTGATCTTCTTTATTATTATCGTCCTGATATGTATAATTTTCATGCTTGTACGCTGTTGTCTAAGCTACATATCTAAGCAAACCCAGCCAGGGAATAGATTAATGTTCCTGCAAATATCTGAACAAAATCAGCAGAAGGAAAATGAAAGAAAACACACCACAGAAACTAAAATGATGGTACTAAAAAGATGTGAGCAGATTGAAAGAAGATATAGAAAGATGCAAGATGAAATAGAGAGACTCATGGGAATAGAAATAGAATAAGATGAGACTTGTAAGTCTCAAAGGGGGGAAATGTGGAAGCAAAGGATGGCTGAGGCCTCAGGGGCGGGAGAGAGAAATTCCTTAGATAAGAGGAAGATGACCATTAAACTGTCTTGAAGGACACAAGACAGATAGCCCCAAGGCGGGAAAAGCTAGTTTAGGCAACCCTTTGTCTCGAATCTATAAAAGGTTAATTGCCATGGATGTAAAGTAGAGAGGCCACAGCAGAAATCTTCCTGTAAGGGTCTCTCTCCGATAGCTATCGAAATAAAGTTTCTACCTGACCTGATTCCAAATTCTACAGCATGTTTTTTTTCCACGACACCCTCAATGCCTCGTGCAGCCGCGGGGCCCCTTCAACTCTCAGGACTCTCCGTGCACTGACCTGTGCACCAACGCCACGGCTCCCGCCACGGCGGGGCTGGGATGCAGCCGCTTGCTGCTTCCCGCTTGGCAAAGGCGATTTCAGGGTGCTTCTGTGGCAACTGCGCTGCCCCGCTAGTCAGCTCTACCAGCTCTTCTGCAGCCCTGTCTTCATTGTCCCTTGTCAAATGTGCTGGGCACACAGGGTTTTATCCCTTCTGGAGGCTCTGCCCTCAGATTGAAAAGAAACCAACTGGAAAGCCTGAGAGCACCAATTGGAAAGCCCACACCCTGCCCTGGCTTGGCAGTGCCTGTTGGCTCCCCTTCGCTTCAGCATCCGGGGCAGTCTCCCCGCTCGCCCCCACTTGCTATGGCACTGCATGTCCCAACCTCCATTTCCCACCTTTTGCAAGTTCCTCACATGCACACACAACACAGAAACTCTAATGTATTAAAATACATATTAAAAAAACCTTTAGCTAATCAAGCTTGTTATCTTACATGCTAAAAAGAGAAATATCATTTTAAATACTTGTGAGGTGCTTATGCTTTACAGTGATGGGGAATATATAAGCAAATAATATAGCTAGGGGTCTACTGAAATCGCAGTCTTGCGGATTTCACAGAAACTGCAAAATCCAGGATTGTCTGTGAAATTAACAATAACAAAAAACCCTTATTTTATTAAGTGGGAGGGGAAGGGGCTGGCTGGTGGGGCAGCAAGAAGGGCAGCAGAAAAGATGGTTGCCATCCTCTTGCCTCTCCTCCCAACCCACCCTGGGCCTCTCCACCAATTAGTGCTGAGGGGCAGGACTGCATGAAGGGCAACCAGCAGTCAAGATGGTGGCCACCCCCTCATCCCTCCTCCTCCGCAGGGACTCTTTGCCAAGCATTATTGAGGTATGGGGCTGCCGGAGCACATCTGCAAAATGCCCACGAAATTTGCTCTTTATGCTGCGACGAACCCATGAAAATTGGTAAATCTAACTATGATTTAAGTAGACCACTAAATACAGCGAAGCAGCATAAGGCAAAGCACAGAAGACAATAGGATAATACAACCAAGTTTACTAAAATTTACAATCCCAGCAAACTCAGCAATTTCAATAGCTAGGAAAAAGTTGATGGGAGCTTAAGTAAAAGCAATGAAAATATAAAAATATGTTACCAAAAGGAGAAAAAATTAACTGCAATAAAGTATTTTAAGATAAAACTAACGCTTCACTATATGGATTAAAATGTACACACACCTGCTCATCTTTTATATTCCATAACTTTGACTCTGTTAACGCTTTTCTTTCTTTCAGCTGCTCTATATAAAACCAAGACTCAAAGGTATCCGCTATTTGCGTGCATTCATCATCTCTCTGGGAAATACTGAGTTCTGATCTCAAGTGTTCTTCCATAACACGAAGCTCTCTTTCCGTCTCTGCTAATTGATAGACAGGTTGTACTAAAGATTCTGACAAAGAATTCAGTGCTGTCAGAAGCTCTTCTGGGAGGGCATTGTTCTTCTCATCACCCAAAGTATCTACAGATAGAACATCATCCTGACATTCTAGCATATCGTGCAAAAAGTTTATCATTTTTGGACTCTCAGATTCACTGAGTGGTTTCAGCAAATCTTGAATTTCAAATTCATCAGCCATTATTCTTTGCGCAGTAAACGCTTCCTTGGAAATCTTCTCTGGGGGTGCTGATGAGACAGCTGTATCTGTATTAACAGAATGATCTTTAACCTTGGCATCAAGCTCAATAATCGTCATGCTGGCACTCTGACAATCTTTTAAAACACTTGGAAATATGTTTTGCAGTGTCAATTCCTTTGGAACCATGAATGTCTCCTTTGCAATGGCACCTGAGAGCAGGCTTTCTTCTGGAGAGTCGTCTTCATCATTAAATCTCTGTGAAAAACATTTTTTCCAAAAAGCAACATTTAAAACACTATCTATTTTACAGTTCATCAGTGCCCTTATAGCTTGTTTATATCTTTTGGACCAAATTAAACTTCTGATTTCCCTAGTACAGAAGACCAAGAATAAGAAAAGGTATAAATCTAGCATTCTTTAGAGGTCAAAAATCTCATACTACTCTCAGTGTATTTGTATGCCACACTGATGTTCAGAAAGTTTTTTCCACCTTTTTTTAAATATGGTGTTAAATATTTTCATAGTCTAGGCAAACAGTAAAAATCACAGATCATTGCAGATATAGTATAAAAGGTTTGAATCTTGCAATTGCTTTAAGTGGCCCAGGAAACTTGTTTCACATCAAACACTCACAAAAATATGTAAAAAAGTAGTGTACACTTTCTTTAACTACGTGTCAGTGTACATCTCAGTGTATGGAAGCATATGCCTCAGGCTTACAAGCTTGGAACAGCCATTTTCATTGGAGTGTCACATGTGCCCTCTGCCTCCTCGTGCTCCCCTGACACAGCATAAAAAACAGAGCAGATGCTAACTCTCCCTCAGCTCCATTTTACTACCCATGAGACAGAACATGGATGGCTTCCAACCTGCCATCAACCCTGGTACTTCTTCCCAGAAAAAGTGAGTTTGAAATTCCTCTTTAGTCCCTTATTATATTATTACTACCAGTATATTTAATTAAATAGGCAGAATGAGGGATGTACCTCAATTATTTTATCTAGGAGCTATAGAAAAGATTCCACTAAAATAGAAAGAAAGAAGCATCTACCCCTGACACTTTCTTATTCTAAAGGAAACAAGAGAGTACACATACTATTCTGCACCTCAGACCAAAGAAATGCATGCATTGCTTAGATTCAGGATGGTAATACCTGAGGATTCTGTTGAAGCGTAACCCCCTCATGCAAATCAAGAAAGTTAATAGGTTGCTGGGTACTATTCAACCTCACCCATGAGAAATTAAGAAAGTATCAGTCTTTGAGGGAGGAACTAAACAGGGAGGCAACAGTTCTACTGACAGCTGAATGGAGGAAGAAGATACATAGCTCTAAGTAATGGCAAATGGCAATAACTGAGGAAGACTGCACCCTAGCTGAGCCTCTGTACAGAAAAGGAGTAAGCAGGGGAGGGAAGTCCTGCCAGGTAGGCGAGGATCATTATATTTGACTATCAATAACCAACTTAGACTTGCCTAAGTGTGGGGGAGGAGGGCGCACTAGTGCAGTTGCACTCTCCTGATCCCTGCTCCTCCCAAAGTTTAAAACCAACTGCCTGACAGTGGCAGTAACATTTTTTATTCAGGCACCAGTAAGGGAGTCAATTGAATTCATAGCTCATTAAAATCTAGCTGATTCCTCCTGAATTCTTCATTCCACAGGTGTTAATGACCCTGTCTCCTTTATAACGGTTGTGATGTTCCACTCATCAAGCTAGCCTTTCTTCTGCAATTCTTCTGTCTGTTAGCTGCTTCTGATAATGTAGCTCCTATATCACAGCCCTGCAGGCTAGTTTTAACATATTCCAATAAGGTTATATTGGTTTTTGCTTTGATCTTAAACTAAATAAGATAGTCCTAGACCGCTAGCATATTAGTAAAGCTTCTAGTCTCTTTTTACCTGGAGAAAAATACGGTTTGTATTATATGTAATGAGATACCACACCTTCTGCACCACCCTTTTCAAAGTCCTAGATCTGCCCATGAAGTGAAGCAAGGGATCTAATGATAACAGAGCCCAGAGGGGAGAAGCGTTGTGGTTTTTTGTGTTTCTTTGGACTTGAGGTATTCTGGAAGCTGGAGAGAAACTTTGTGTGACCAAGCACAAAATCATAGAAAAGTAGGACTGGAAGGGACCTCAGGTCATCTACAATGACCCCCTGCTCCATACAGAATCATCCCTATCTAATCCAACCTGTACAAGCATAGGTCTAACCCAGTGGTTCTCAACTTTTTTAGTCTCAAGGCATCCCTTGGAAAATGCTAGCCCATAGTTTTCACTTATTTTTTGACTATGGAATAAATAAAGCATTATTTTTCTGTTGCAAAGAACTCAGAAAGACCAAAGCAGAGAAGAATGTTTTTGACTTTATGAATTCTTATTTGAAATCTCTGGGTTTAATCTCGTGAATGATGTTTGCGTACTGGCCAGGGCACCCTGGTTGAGAATTCTTGGTCTAACCTATTCTTAAAAGTAGACAAACAACCTTCTCACACAGCTACCAGGTACACTGCCCCAAGATGCCAAGAACACCCTAACCCAGTAGCATAACTAGAGGTGGGCAAATGCGGCATTAGTCCCAGGCTTTTACACTGACTTTTATGCAACCAGAATGGAGACCCCTGCAGAGTCTGCTCAGGTGGGAGTGTAATTCAGGGCAGTGGTGCTCAAGGCAGCCTCAGTGCTTCTGCAGCAGGCGCCACTGCTGTAGTGGGGAGATGCTGGCACAACCAGCAGCTACGGGGTTAATGAAGTTGTGGCCAGTTCTAGCTCTCTCCTTACATTTTGTTGCCACCAGATTTACCTCTGCCTACCACCCCAGCAATGACATTTAGCAGACAGGGGTGACAGGGGTGAGCTACCGCCTCTTTGTTAACCCCTAGCTCCTAGCCACACCAACACGTCTTTCCTGCAGCAGTGACTCTTCATCAAGGATTAGGAGCATGAGGCTGACTCTACCTAGCTTCTGGCCACACCAACACCTCTCCCCACAGCAGGTTTGGCCCAAGCTATAAACCATACCAGTTATGTTTCTGCCTGCCACAGGTAAAGCAGAGAAACAAGGGCAATGCCAGTATCTTACTGCTGCAAGTACAAAATTATGGTAGTTTTCAAAATACACTCAAGAGATAAAAGGAAAAGGACCTATGTCCCCACTGCAGAGAAAGGCAAAACCCCCACAGTCCATGCCAATTTGACCTTGGGGTAAAATTCCTTTCTGAACCCAAATGTGGTGATCAGTCTGATCCTGAGTGGAAGGGCAAGTCCTTCTAAGCAAGAACCTGCGTAAGCAGCTGGCAGATCACTCCAGGAAATTCAGCCTCAGCTGCACCCTTCCTGCTTTCTCAGCAGGTCCTCCTGATGACTTACCTCTGCACAGATAAGGGTTAGTTCCTAGGGGCCAGACGAGAACCTGGGACAGTGAGGTTTATCTGCCAAGAGACAGGTTCCTTTCATTCCAGCCTCTATGGAATGGAGTGAAACTGAACCTAGCTACAACCCAAGAACTTGTCTCATGATATTAAATAATATATCCATATAATATTAGCCTGACCTAGGGCCCAAGGCTCAGATCATCACAACAGAAGGAGCTCTACAGGCATGATATATAGGAAAGATAAGTTATATGGTTTGTTTCCATTGCTGTTTGGGGTTTGCATTACACCAGAAGACTGGGCTATGCTGTAGGAGAGGAGAAGGCCTGGGGCACTCTGGGTTTTAAGCCCTACAAAAGGGGCAGAGGGAGTGAACTGCATGAGGGCTGAGACAGTTAACACGGGGCCGTGGGCTTGGAACCTGGCATGTGCAGCCTAGGCTGTAGTCCAGAATCTAGGACAGGAGCTAGTCCCAGAGGAGGGCCTGGAGGAGTAGGTACTCTGAAAGGCAGCTGGTTTGGGACTAGCAAAAAGGGGAGGACAAGGGGCTGAGTTCCCACCCCCCCCCAGCACAGGTGGGGCTGACCCCCTAGGAATAGGCAGGGCTGAGGCCAAGGGGCCAAATGCAGGGAACAATGCCAACTGCAGAGCATAACTGTAGGAGTTCTGCACTGTTCAGGAGTCAGGAACAGCTTGATGGACCTCCTCAGTAAGCAGTCTGCCTTCACCCACAAGTGGCACTAGGGATGCACTGATAGAGACTTTGGGGGCCAATACCGATAGCTGATTTTTAAGGAGATATATCAGCCGATACTTATCCAATTTCCGATATGCAGCCCTGCAGCTTGAAGAGCTGTGTGCAGCTAGTAAGTCTGTTGTGGTGGAAGGGGCATGGGGAGAAAAGGGGCATTGGGCGGGGGGGGAGGGGAGGCGGCAAATCAAGGCCCCTGCAGTGAGGGAGGAATGGGGTTAGGGCAGGAGCTGGGGTAGGTGCTGCCCAGCTGGGGTGGGGCGGGGCACTGGACAGAACTGCAGCTCATCCGGGGGGACAGGATGCGGGGAGGGAGGAGTGGCTCCTGTGTTGCGCACACCCCAGGAGGGCATGGTGGGGCATGTGCCCCTGGATCTGTGCGGGGCATGGGCAGGGCGGGCTGCAGCTGCAGGCTGGGCCGGAGCTATGCTGGGCTCTTCCCAGCAAGGGCTGGGCCAGGCTGCGCTGCTCTGAGCTCAGGGTGGGCAGCAGCGGTGCTGGGAGGGGCCTATGGGAGGGGCTGCAGCCACCTCAAAATTTGTTGTAGCCCCCCCCAGCCCCCCTCCCAGTGTCACCACTGCCTTCCCTAAGCGCAGCCCCAGCCCAACCCCCACACATGTGCTGGGAAGAGCCTGGCACAGCCCCAGCTCACAGTTGCAGTCCACCCCACCCATGCCCCACATAGATCCGGGGGCACATTCCCCACCACACCCTCCCATGGTGCGTGCAGCGACAGGAGCCCCACCACACCCCACCGGATGAGCCACGGCTCTGTGAGGCACCCTGCCCCACCCTGGCTGGGCAGCACCAGCCCCTGCCTCCCACTCCCTCACCACAGGGGCCTTGATCTGCTCTCCCACGCCCCTTCCCTCCACGCACCCCTTCTACCTCAACAGACTTACCAGCTGTACACAGCTTTCCAAGCTGCTGGGCTGTGCTTCTCGCTGCCTGCATGCTGCACTGTGGCTTCATGCATGCATGGGCATTTATCGGCCAAATTATCAGCCACATCAGGCTGATTTCTGATTCAGTTACTTTCCTTTATATTGATGCCAATCTGATATTGGACCAATGTAGTTGTGCACATCTAAGTGGCACTGCACAAATCCATCCTGAATGACTATACCAAGTGTTCAGTACCTGTTCCAGAAGAATGTTAACTTTCAATCTCTAGCAGTAAGTTCTTTTAGCAGTGGAAGCAAGGCCTATACATATTTCTACAGAACCCACTAATTCCCAAAGCCAGATAATATCCAACCATCCTCTATAATAGTTCCGTACTAGCTTAGGAAGTTTTAAGTTCCGTATGATCACTGAGCAGGCTCCTAGATATATTATCACAAGATCAGGCTGAGGGAACCTGCACTTCCCTACCAGACACTGCTATTCAAAAGAAACTGAGTTTGTATGCCTGCCGCATCTAAAAAGGAGGGCCACAGTGACTACCTCCTCTTCAGAAAAAAAGTGCTGCACAGTTGGTAACAATCCTTATTATTGCTTCAGCTTTATAGTTACTTTTGGTGTAACCAATGTGCCCGCCGTTAAGCCTGTCTTAAATGGACTCCTTTTCCTGTTGTTTTTGAAGAATAGCTGAAACTTTTGAACCTGTTACCTTTGCAGGTTGATGGAAAGAAATACTTAGTTTTTACCTATACATTTTTCTTCTGCTCAAACTGTTGTTCTCAATATTGTATTTTAGGATAACTCCATTGAAAAGATTTCTTTTAGACCCTTGCTGCCAGCAAGTGGCAAAACTGTGAAGTGCAACAGCATTTTAATATAAGCAGAATACCTTTGAAGCACACTGATGATTAAAATATAATTAAACAAAGGAAGGGCAAAAACACGGAGGAAAAACTGATGGATTTTGAAATAATTAAGAACATGCATTCTTCCTACAGCAATCAAAATTTGCATTGTTATGCTGTCATTCATACCAGCAGGAAGGGAAACTGAGGCAAAAGGACTACTTCCCAAGATAATGTTGCCTTGGCTATTTTTACTTATTTGCAAACTATTGACTAATTTTTTTGCTATGTTCTCTCCTCCCCTAGGATTTTCATATACACGCTTAGTGTAAGTGGATAAGCAGTGCCCATTATGGGCACTCACAGATGGTGTATTTAGTTTTCTCAGATTTTGGGTGGGAAGGGTCTGGAAACTTTTTTGTAATGTTATGAAAAACATCCAGATATTGAACCCAGCTACTGCTGTTGTTGATAAGTCCATGTAGCTGAACTCTTACACTTCATAGCATTTTCATTTAAAATCACTGGCAAAGGAAATACAAGATGCATTTCCCTGCACCACTGAGGGTAGATGTGCTAAAAAGCTATTTACTCCAAGCAGATTAGGCAGTTTTACCACTGCCAGTTCCATCAGGAGTTTGAGAGGGCAAGTTTTAAAGTTAGCAAACACTCCACAAAAGCTCTGTGGAGAAACATAAAAGTATGTGTATGAAACCAGACCCATCCACACCCATTCTCTGGCCAGATCTACCCACCTTTTGGGTTGCAATGAGTGACCACTTCCCAGTGGAAAAGCAGTTGTCACCACATTTACAATCACCCCTGCTGGTAGACTTTCCTACAGCCCTCTCTAGTATCTGTGCTGGCAGTGAATCTGGCCAGTACTATGAAAAATTCAAGTCTCTTTTGGCTTCAGGAGTAGTCCTTGCAGACTCTGCATTGTGATAAACTCTGCCATATTTATTATCATTATTCTATGGCACCAAGTGTGGCCTAGGTAGGAAGTGAGGTCCTTGGCCAAAGAGCTAAAAGCCAAATTATGTACCTGTGCTGGGACCATGTGCTCTCTGTAGGTTTCAATATAGAACCACATGCTTTCTTGAATACATGAAGCCTAGCTGTTTCTTCAGCAAAGAATTCTGGAAGTGGTAACTAAACCAAATCAAACTGTTTACATGTATTCAGTGGTAAGAACACACTAACCTCTCTCTCAGGCTCTGTCAAAAATCCAGGCTCTTCAGTGCCTACAGCTTGTATAGTAAATAAAAGAATATTATTTAAACTTCTTGTCAAACTTTTTGAATTTCAATTTTTTACCTTCTCAGCGTTTTTCTAACAGAAGAGATCCTTGCTTCATATATGATTTCTGTTTCTAGCACCTACTTAGCAAACCCACTATGCCAAGCAGTAGCACCCTCCAACACACTACAGTGCTCTGTGCAAGCTATATCCTGAATTGGAACCAATGTAGTCATGCTTGTGCAGCACCACAGACAGAATAATCAACACTGTCATTTAGCAGTACTACCCAGTCTGCCCACAGGATGACACGACATGAATTGGCTAACCGCATGCTTCCAGTTAACCGCAACCCCTGTTGAACAGCATGGTATGTTTCATAGTTTCATAGGGTCAGAAGGGACCCTATTAGATCATCGAGTCTAACTCCTACCCTGGGCAGGAATGAGTGCTGGGGTCAGATGACCCCAGCCAGGGGTCTGTCCAATCTCCTTTTAAATACCTCCAAGGAAAGGGACAGCACCACCTCCCTTGGAAGCATATTCCATATTTTGGCAACCCTCACTGTAAAGAATTTTCTCCTGATGTCCAATCTGAATTTGCTCTCTTCCAGTGTGTGGCCATTATTTCTAGTTACACCAACAGGCACCCTGGTAAACACTGTATCCCCTATTTCTTGCTGGCCCCCCCGATGAGTTTGTAGGCAGCCATGAGATCACCACTCAGCCTCCTCTTGTGGAGGCTGAAGAGGTTCAGGTCTCCCAATTGGTCCACATAGGGTTTTTTCTGTAGGCCTTTAACCAGACAAGTGGCCCTCCTCTGAACCCTCTCCAGGCCATCCACATCCCTCCTGAAGTGCAGTGCCCAAAACTGGATGCAGTACTCCAGCTATGGCCTGACCAATGCCGCATAGAGAGGAAGTATCACCTCCCTAGACCTGTTTGTGATGCACCTACTTATGCAAAAAAAGGTGAGGTTAGCTTTACTTATTACCTCATCACACTGGTGACTCATGTTCATTTTGGAGTTGACTACTACTCCGAGATCCCTTTCTGCAGCTGTGCTGCTTAGAGTGGTACCTCCCAGGCTATAAGAGTGTTGATGATTCTTCCTCCCCAGGTGCAACACATGACACTTATCCTTGTTAAACTGCATCCTATTCTGTTCTGCCCATTTCCCTAGCCTGTTCAAATCAGCCTGGATTCGCTCCCTGCCATCTAGTTTGTGTACCTCCTGCCAATAGTTTGGTGTCATCAGTAAACTCGGACAAGGTGCTTTCTACTTCCTCGTCCAAGTCACTACGGAAGACATTGAATAGTACCAGTCCCAGGATGGAGCCTTGGGGGACTCCACTGTCCACATTTCTCCAGGTAAAAACTGACCAATTCACCACCACTCTCTGGGTGCATCCCATAAGCCAATTTTCTACCCACCGAACTGTGTAATAATCTACGTTGCAAATGTTTAGCATATTTATAAGAATTGGGTGTGACACTGTGTCAAAGGCCTTTTTAAAATCTAAGTAAATAACATCTACCACTATTCCTTCATCCAAGCATTTTGTGACCTGGTCGTAAAATGAAACCAAGTTAGTCAGGCAGGATCTGCCTGCTATGAACCCATGCTGATTGCCCCTTAGCATCATTTTACCCTCTGGTCCCCCACAAATGTGATCCTTAACAATTTTCTCAAAGGTCTCGCCAAGGACAGAGGTGAGACTAACTGGCCTATAGTTACCCAGTTCCTCCTTTCTCCCCTTCTTGAAAATAGGGAACACGTTGGCCCTTTTCCAATCCTCCGGGACCTGTCCCGAGTGCCACGAGTGCTCAAACAGTTGTGCTAGTGGCTCCGCTATGACTCCAGATAATTCCCTAAGTACCCTATGATAAAGATTGCTATTCAAAAGAAACTGAGTTTGTATTTGGACCTGTTGACTTAAATACATTCAACCCCTCCAGGTGCCCCTTTACTAGGTCAGCATGAACAGTTGGTGGGTTGGTATCTATACTGGGCTTACCTAAGGTCCCAATTGGATGTGTATTTGTATTCATGTCCAGGAACACGGATGCAAAGAAATCATTTAGAAGCTCCACTTTGACCATCCTATCTGTTACCAGTTGCCCTAGTTCATCCTGAAGGGGTCCTAAGTTACCCTGCACCTTCTTTTTACTTCCTATGTACTTAAAGAATGACTTTTTGTTATCCTTAACTTTTGCTGCCAGCCTAAGCTCCATTTCCGCTTTGGCTCTCCTCACTGTTTCCCTGCAAGCTCGAGCCAACCAGGTATACTCAGGTATGTTGAAGGGTGACACTGCTTGGCTTGGTAAGGTATGGTTTTAAGCTCCTATCTTGAGATGTATATCACTGAAGGAGGTTCTATTTAATCACAAAATGTTTTCTACATTGACATTTTTGTCAATTGAAGAAACATTTTGTATGTAACTGTTCCCTGTGACCTATGCTTCTGTACCTTCAAAGGCTGGTACTGGATTATGCTGCCATTTGTTTCAGTGGCTGAGGCCTATTCCTACCATGCACACTTAGCCAGTTCTGTTGGCTAATGTAAAGGAGTCAATGGTCATGCTCTTCTTCTTTCCCTCTGAGGATCTTCTTCAGCATTTGGAAGCACTAAGGGTACAGTACTTGAAGGATCACAGACTGTGACTCTCACACTTTCTCACCTGACCCTTACACATTCCTAGAATATTCAGACACATTCTGACCATGGCTATAATCAGGCAACACTACCACATTAAAATCTTCAATTTTAAAGTACATCAGTATGCATGGAAAACCAAGAACAGTTACTATTCTAGACAAATGGTCCAACCCAATCTGAACAATAATATAACCTGTACTACAAGATTCCTTTGAAACAGCAATTAGGCATAAAAGTCACATATCTTTAATTCTAAATAAATCTATATGCACACCTCATCTTCACTTTCTCAATTGATTCTGTCAAATTTAGAGGGATTACACTTCCTTGTTTTCTACTTCATAAAACATACCTCCAGAGTCATTTTGCCATCTCTCTTCTGAAGTACTTAGTTGAAGACCAGTCTGAGAAACAGTTGTAGTAAACACTGGGCAATCTCTCTCACCCCTAAACATAGATATAACAATATTTTCCATTAAAAGAGCCATGTAAAAAAGTGATTCTTCTACAGTGTGTATAACATTGAACCATTGCATTACTAGGTCAGTAAAGTATTAGGGAATAGGATATACAATGGCAACACCAGCTGGAATACTGAAGATAATATCAGGGTATGCACCAGAAGTGGGCTGTGGGAAGGAAGACTGAAAAAAATACAGTTTAGAGGAAGTCCCAAGAATCTAGTGAAAGTAACACAAGAGAGAAAAAGCATAATAATAAGAGCAGACATGAACTAAACACATTGGAGAATGAAATGAAGAGTAAGAGGCAGTGCATGGAGGAATAGAATATGGAGTTAGGAATGAGGATGAAGAGAGAGGGGCATGGATCTGTTCATTAAGAATACTGCACTTCAGAGGAGAGAACAGTACCTTGTTACAACAAGACTGGCCAAAGGAAAAGTCAAATTGATAACAGTATATTTAATCAGGCAAAGAGAGTGGGAAAAAGCTTATAAGCAGTGAGGCCACATCAGTGAAGCAGTAACAACTAAATATGGGCTTCTGATTATGAATATAGTGGTAGATAAAGAAAAGAGAGACTGCAAAGAAGAAGAGGGACAAAAGAATGAAAGCTTGAAATGTGAAAGAAGAGGACATTGAAAATTATTATAGAGAAAAGGTAAGAGAACAAACTATACCAATTAATGGGCCCAAGAATGGATGAATGTCACGGAAAAAGGGGTAACAGGAAAAATGTGTGGAAAGAAAAGGAAAGAGAAACTGAAGTTGAGACAGTGGTGGAATTCAGAAATCAAAATGCGATAAAAAGGAAATGTTTAGGAAATGGTAGCAGAGTTGAGATTAGAACATTTAGGAAAGATAAAGAGGATGAAAAGCTGTTACGATTTCTAAAAATGGCAAATGGAAAGAACAACACAATATGTTAAAGACAGCAGGAGGAGGAAAACAAACAAAACAACAAAAGGAAGGGAAGTAATAGGAAGGGGTGGGAAGAATAAAGAATTGATAATGGATATAAGTAACAGCATCCTGATTAAAGGAATGGATATCAAGAACCAATGAAAAGATTACTCTGAAGTAAGTATAGCTGTAACAAAACAGAAATCTGGTTACATGTGTGGCCCATCAGAAATCTCCACAGAGATGAAAGGAGATTTAAAGTGATGGGAGAGGAAGGCATTGAGTAGACCTGGACACCAATGTGTAAGTTTGGTACAAAGAGAGAATCCCACGGGACTGGGAAAAAAGCAAAGGATTATGCATATATAGAAAGAAGGAAATATGCTAAACTGCAGAAACTATATAGGAATAAAGCTTGTAGATCTTATGAGAGGATCATAGATAAGTCAAGTGGCTACCCAAGAGAATAAAGATCTATGAAATTCAGTTTGGATCTGCAAAAGGTAAAGGAAACATGGATGTTTTTGTGATGAAACACATGAAAAATATTTCCTAGAAGAGAGTAAAAAACTTTGTCATTCATTTATGGATTTGGGGAAGGCATTAGAATTTTTAAAGAAGTATGTTCCAGTGTTTGAATTAGAAAGGGTACTTGAAATACATAAAAAATAACAAAAATAACAAAAAATTGTTTTTTAGATATATAGGGAGTAAAAGGAAGGCCAAGGGTGGAATAGGACCCCTACTAAATGGGCAGAAGCAATTGGTGACGGACAGGGGGGACAAGGCTGAACTCATCAACGAGTTCTTTGCCTCAGTGTTCCTAAGTGAGGGGCAAGACAAGTCTCTCACTGGGATTGTAGAGAGGCAGCAGCAAGGCACCAGACTGCCATGCGTAGACTCTGAGATGGTGCAGAATTACTTGGAGGAACTGGATGCCTTTAAGTCGGCAGGCCCGGATGAGCTCCATCCGAGGGTCCTGAAGGCACTGGCTGATGTCATTGCACAGCCACTGGTGGGACTATTTGAACACTCATGGTGCATGGGCCAGTTCCTGGAGGACTGGAAAAGGGCCAATGTGGTCCCTATTTTCAAGAACGGGAGGAAAGAAGACCCAGGCAACTATAGGCCAATCAATCTCACCTCCATCCTAGGCAAAGTCTTCGAAAAAATTATCAAGGCTAACATTTGCGAGAGCCCAGCAGGACAACTTATGCTGAGGGGAAACCAGCACGGGTTCATAGCAGGTAGATCATGCCTGACTTATCTAGTCTCTTTTTATGACCAGGTTACAAAACGCCTGCATGCAGGAGTAGGGGTTGATGTCGTATACTTAGACTTCAGGAAGGCCTTCGATATGGTATCCCACCCCATACTGGTGAA